CTTATATTTAACAGGGTCTATTTTTTCTTCAATTTTCTCAGGATCAGCGTCTAACCTCTCTCCCATTATTATTCATAACATTTTTTATTTTTCTCATTATCTCTGTTGCACATATGCAGGCACACTCTGACGCCCCATCTTGTCATTCCAGCAGATGATTCCCACTAGGGATATCTGCCATGCCCTCCTCTGCCAGGTCTATGACATGAGGGGCATGAAGTCTAGGTCTGTGCCAACACTATAATGAACTAGAAGGGCACCTGGAGAGTCTCCGCCAAGGCCATTTCCAAAATGAAATATAAAGTGTGTATCCGCCCTATGATGTGGATCTGCTGCAACATTTAAATGGGTTTGTCCTTGGGCAATGCTACAGTCTGCTAACTAGTTTCATAACAATCAAGCCAGTAATCTTTTGGTAATTCTGGTGACAAACTGGAAAGCTGAATATATAACCTCCTTGGAGCAGTAATAACAAAGCTATTATACACTCTATTTCTGGTGAGGTTGATACTTTATGATCCTGTTTTTCTTTTGCTGTGCAGCAGTAAAGATCTGGCTTATGAGCCCCCTAACTAGAAGATTAAGACACCGCCATGACCCCTGAGTCTCGATGCACTCAATGACCCAGCACTCTTTCTGAAGAAGAGGACAGGTCAAAAGCACACTTTCATAATGGAAAAAGATCATTCTTAAAATAAAGAGGTCTTTTAGTATAAGCATGACATTAACTCGGTTTGAAAACAATTGGATTTTTCCTTTGCCCTGCTTTTAGGTTCTGTCTTAGAAACATAAAAAATGTATTACCTCTCCAAATCTTCTAAATGAAAAGCTACATCCAACACAAGCTGTATGTAAGGATATGAATGAATTCAAAAAGAATCGTTTATAAAGTTGGCAAATGTTACAGCCTTGAAAACTCTTGTTTAATAAAAATTCAAACTTTAATCCACTTTGACAGAGGACCCTGACTCTTTCATCATGGAAATACAACAGGATAACACGCACCATAGATGCATGAGAATGTGTCACGATCCTGAATATTAAATAAAGAACATCTGAATTACTCAAGGTAACTCTGGAGTAGTCATTATGGCCAGAGTTGAGCACCTTTGTGCTACTGAGCACTGCTCGTCTGTGTTGACACAGTAAACATTATGGTCTGTAATTGCGCACGACCAACCCCCCTCCCCTCCCCTTTGTCCTTGGTACTTCACATTTAAAATCCATGTGATTTGTTTCTGAAAAGCGCTTTTGATTTGTAGTTTTTATAGCTTGTTGATGACTTGGGAGAGTCTTTTACCTGAAGTCATGTGCAGTGAAGTTCTTCACAGAAACACCGCCATGTGACTGAGAGAAGAAATGGCAGAGTCCTGTCTCGGCCTTGTAGGGATACTCTGACTGAGGCACCAATTTCACTCGGGTCTAGAAAGAAAATGTGAATCTCAGTGAGTGTGTATCAGAATGCAAAGTATCCATTTATCTTGTTTGTGAAAGATCCAGGCAGTTTTCTAATTTATGTCTGACTAGAGACAGCGATCTTATTTTGCTTACTGCCTCTACATATCTCTCTAATTAAAATACATGACAGTATTACCTGATTTGTAGCTCAAGCTAAATGGAAATACCTTCCTGCAGGTTTGCATTTCTATAAAGTCACTTTTATCTTGTCTATGTGAAGTATTGCAGGATTTCTTGCCTAGCTTTGTACTTACTGTAAACGACTTATGAAGCATCGGTTAAATCCATGAACATATGTTTAAGGTCTTTGATGATGTAAACATATCAACATACCTGCTTCAACCAATCCAGGGCCTTATATGTGGATCCTCCATTGCATCCTTTATTTCTGAAGGAGCAGTCGAGAACCTGCTGCACACTGAGCTGCTGCAGCTGAGAGCCTCCTATAGCGTGGACCGATTGTATGGCACCGACCACACTGAAGGCCCAACAACTCCCACACTGCAGAGGGACATTTAAAGGAATGAGGAAAACAGAACTATAACTAAAGGAAGTTTAAGGAACAACACTCCAAAGATGAATCATATCTTATTATACCCATACAAATGTCATTTTGCTTCTCCCCATTAACAGAGATGTAGGTGTCTCTCTGTGTCTTGGTTAGTGTCTATCACTGACTCATTTAGGAAGATTTGTTCCCAATTATAACAGCAAATGTGATTGCATTTGGAATAAAATAGAGACAGGGTTCTACAGTGAGTGTGATGAGGTTAGAAGACGTCTGAGTTTGTTTTCTGCTGCCCTCTACTGGCAGAAACAGCTCAGGTGTTCACATATTTGATGGCAAAAGTTGCCCTAATACTACAGATTGAATGCAGATTACACTGCTTTCCACAATCCACTTATGGTATAGAGAAGAAATACAGTATTTCATTGTGTAAGGGACTGCATATTTCCCTGTATTACATTTGCCAGGCAATCTCATTTTCTAAAGCGCATCAAACTCTGCTCAGTTCAGCATAAATTCCCCTAAATGTGATGAAAACCTGAGCTCTCTGTGTAAAAATCCAATATGGTGTTGCTCACTATGGTTCCATGGCTTTAAAATCAATACTGAAACCAAAATCAGTCCATATTGCTTGGAGATAAGTATGCGCCAAGTATACAAAATATTAGGGGCCCACTGCGCTCTCCTTGAAAGCGATGAATTGCACTTCAGTCATAAAAGTGGAATCAAGATAAGGGGAAAGTGAATTTATGAAAACAATTTGTGAGATGTTAGCGGCTTGATATTTTGTGTCTCTGTGCGTGGTACTGCATTTTATTTTCTGTCTATCAATATATGTGTGGTAGAAACTCATCTCAGGCATTTTAATAGACCAGAGAACCAGAGAAAATAAATAAATAGAAAGTCTGCACAGAAAAAGTGCAGCAGAGCAGATTGTTAGCGGAGTTTGGTCATATACACACTCTCCCTGGAGGGATAAGCCTTACCTGGATTCAAGAGAACAACATATATTATGGTGTAGGATGTTTGCTCTATGGGGCATGTCTTTCCCTCAGGACAACGGTCTCACGATGAAAATATCATACCCGACAGCAAGTTGACTGACTGAAGAGATAAAGGACAAAAAGAGCACAACGTGTGAACCTTCACTGAGGACACGCAACAGCTCCATCTTTATAATAGTCACATTTAAGTGCCTCGTTTGTCCTTTGACCGATATTAAAGCGCCTTCCACTCAAATATGTAGTTTGCTTAGTGGTACTCAATGTTTGTCCTTCACTGCTCAGAAGTATGTCCTTCACTGCTCCTTGCTCACTTTGATAATAAAAATATGTTTTTTCAATGCATCTTGGGAATGCTTCTTTGTGCTAACCTCGAATCTGTCAGGTGTACACGTCCAAGATGTTCTTATTTTTACAACGATTTTGAAAGCAGTTCATACTGTGTGATGTGAAGAATTGAACTCACTTGTTTCTTATCACATTTTTTAATTGATATTTGTGTTAAGTGTCGCTTATTAGTTTGGAAGTAACCCAACGGTGTCTCTGTAGCTACACTACCCTCCTAGTATCCAGTATATCTATCATCTTTCTGTGTAAACCTTACTGCTTCTTGGTTCTGGACCGGTGCCACCACCGCTTTGTCCCTCCAGTCAAATTTGGCAGGGAGTCCTTCTGTCTTCAGTCCAGAGAAGAGAGGCGCTCTGTCAGCATGTGCTCGCAGGAAGAGATCTGTGGATAACAGATACAGTTCAAAGTCTATCCTGGATAACAAAATGCATATAAACAATGACTGTGCAGATTCAGCCAAGTCGTCCACAGGGGTGAGATGCTCAGTTATCCAAATCCTCAGGATAGATACAAAATAACCAAATACATTTCATTTTTTGATATGTGACAAAACTTCAGCCTACCTCTGAATTCCTTCTGAGAAAAGTTGGAGAACCGGTTAATGCCATATTCTGCAGACTGTGGTACTGTGGAGAATGAGTTCAGGTATGCATGACGCTTTGTTGAGTTCTGCAATAACACACATGACAGATTAAGGGTGAGTAAATTAACTGAAGGAGCATAACAATCAGTTATAATTTTTCAGTATGTAAATGCAAATTTATATTGCAGGACTTTTAGGTATTGCCTCTCAATGCTTGTAATAACATGGCTCTTTGCATATTAATCTACAATCAAAACATCATTTGTAAATATTTCAGATAATTGATTTGACACAAAAACACATTAAATACAATTCCTTAATGTAATGGGTGTGCCTGTAGTGACGTGTGCAGCAGTTTGTTTAAAGACGAGTGTTGAAGCGTGTATGGGACTAAATGATGGGGAAAACTAGTTTCTCATTGCTGTGTCTCCCTTTGGTTCTTATCGCTTACCTGGAAATTAAGATGACGACTTTTAAACTCCTCGTTGTTGAATTTATAAAAGCGGTGAAACTTCTCTGTGAACGAGTCGAAATCTTCTGCAGAGACATTAAACTTCTTCTCAGTTTCACCCGAGCTCACACACAGCGGAAAGAGGAGAGTGGAAACGGTCACTACTACAACCAGATATGGATGTCCGCCCCTCATTTGAACAAGAAATATCGGTTGAAAACATTGAGGGTTTCAAAGGGAAGTAAACACAGAAGTGATGTTGACGGAAACAGTGAGGTAAAGCTACAGCGCATGCGCAGCGATCGATAGGCGCTTAAACAGAAAGTAAACACCAGTCACAGGAAGGAGGCACTCAAATAATTTAATAGTGTTCAAATAAATACATTCATTAATACATAATACAATGAGATGATACCAGCCAGGTATCCAATTGGAGATCTGTAAATGACTTTTTTTACTTTAGTTATCAAAACAATTTTTTAAAAAGGTGTAGGCTATAACATTATGCAGAAATTAGGCCCTCATTATCTGACTAATGCCACATGGTGTAGTTTCAGAATAATGTTGAAGATAATTTATACATTTGCAGTCTAAATGTATTTAATCTCTTTTTATCTCATGTATCTATTATTACTTACTATCATGAGTATAAAGATATGCAAACATCATTTTAATTATTGTTTTATCCAATGTATCCTGATTTCTTAGAATTGTACAATTTGAAATGACTGTGGATATGTTAAAACAATGTAATCCAGAATTAAATAACCATAATGAGTTCAAATGTATGCACACAAACTATCACTCTTACTTCAGGAACAGGTACCACAGTGAGTAAAATTGAATGTGTATAACTTGTGAACACACACACTGTACACTTAAAAAAAAAAAAAAAAAAAGCCCTGCAGCTGCTACTGTGCCTGAGAGCAACTACTGCAGTCTGTACCAGGCAACCAGTCAGTTCTCTGGGAGAAAGGTAGTCTACTCTTGTGCTTTTTACAGTGGCATCTGATCCTGCATACTCATAACCAAAGCCCCTCTGATACGTGTCGAAGGAAATGTCAGGGCCAACAGAGGAACTTGCAAACAACTCCTTTGCGGCCCGGTTGTCCAATGTTTACCTCAGCATCTTGGCACTGTTCTGCTTTAAGCTCTTCATTAAGGTGTCTCTTAACTTGCTGACATACTTCTACATTGTCCGTGGGAACCGTAAAGAGGCTGCCAGGATATCAGCTGAGTTCTATGAATATGGACGACACAGTGAGTACTCCAACAACCTTAAGGGGTTGTTTATGTCTTGAGGTGGCTTCTGTGTCCGACAAACTGCAACATTTTAAACATGCATATCTGTGTATACAATACAAGTGTATTTACATTGTACACCAAGCAACATACTGGACCTTAGATCAATGGTAGAATATAACATTGTTTCCTTTAATATCAATCTGCTATAATCTTAGCTCACACATTGCAACACAAATCCACACACACACACACACACACAGTTTCCATGTTTTCAAATGAGATATGAAGGCTGCATTGCTAATCCAATGAGTATAAGAGCCAGTAATTACATTCACATTAATACAAACTGTAGATATGAACGAAAGCCTACTTTTCTTTCATCAGCTTAATAGCTACTTATGAATCCTGAGCAGTACATTCAATATTAAACGGAGACACTGTAGGCTGGCAGCACTTTTTCCCTAATGTATTAATAGAACATAGTCATGATACCCCCCCACCCCCATCCTGCCCTAGTTTCCATTCCCAGCTATGCAGTGCAACCCTTTCGACTCAGACAGCAACCAAAACAACACTCCACACTCTCAGAGACAGACACTTCCAAGGCACATTTTGAAGGGAGAAGGACACAACGACAACATAATCTTTATCTATCACACAAGACGATGTTTAATTTAAAGTGGACCTACTCCATGGAATACTAATTAGCTTAGCTTAGGGTGTTAGTCACGGTTCTGTAGATATGGTCTTCCTTGTTATAAGACATCTGTTTGATGTCTTTAGCTGGGTCTTTTATACTCTTATTTCAAATTAATGTCACTCAAGGAAAACAGGCCTCATGAATAAAAGAGCTTGAGTTTAATAGAAAACATTAAGCCGATCATTATCTATAAATTATGATTACAATTGAGGAAGGTCATTAATGTGGAGAAAGCATCGGCTGTTATTCTGGACATAGGCTCAAGTGTGCTAATGAGATTTGTTTGTGCAAAAATTACACCAAATGGCCACAGCCAATTTCTCATGTTTATATTAATGTCTTGTGTGATCGGAGTGTTAATGTGCTGAGTTTACTGCATTAGGAATATTAAAGCCTCATCAGTCACATAATTCATGCTGCCCCTTGCATTAACTCCTTGGAAATGAAGGGTACAACATGACGCTCATTAACATATAAAGATAATGGAGAATTAATACATTTAGATTTGGGGTTGGAATTTCATTACGCAGCTGTCATTTCATTAAAATAATGTTTATAATATTATCATTTATCTTGAAAAAACCGGATTCAATAAGACAGAAATATCAGGGTAAGTAAAGTAAGATTTGGACATTAAATCAAAATAGTTTGTACTGGCACATTATGTACATTTTGTGTATCTATTATATTCATTTAACATAACAAAGCACAACCAAATCTGCAAGCGCCAAACTATAACATACTGTATGTACCATTTCTCGCTTTCATTATCACACCAGGGAAGCACAGAATATGTGTTTGTGTGCAGTGTACTTAAGAGCTTCTGACTAATATGTACTTGTGCTGTTTTTAACCTATACTTATATTTTGTTCTGCTGCAATTATTGTAAATTGCTCTGGATAAAAGCATCAACAATAATGCATGTAAATGTACAGCACTGAATTGTTATTCTCGCTGCAGTATCCTGGGTGGACCGATCCCCCCTCCACGATGCTGCGAGTCAGGGCCGCCTCCTGGCTCTGAGGAATCTCATTTTACAGGTGAACAGAACAAAGTCCCCTGGGAGAGTTATCTCCCCCCCCCTGTACATGTGGGGGTGTGGTGTAACTGTCCCTAGTGCAATTAAATGTGAATCAGTGCCTTTGTAGACTCCTGTTTTAGATGTTGAAGAAAAAAGGAGTTTGGATGAAAGTAAGGAGCATCTAGGGTTATCTGGGATACATGTAATTATGTAATTGGAACCTGTAAAACACAGATTTATATGAAATATGTCCAACTCCATCTCTTTTTGTTCTCATTGCAAAATGTTGGCATTCCTAATCAAGTTACGGCTGAGAATACCTCGCTCTTTTAAGTGGAACAACATTGTAGAACCAGATCTACATGATTTTGTAGGATCACACTAGATTGATTGACTAGATAGATATATTAAATAGGGGCAGAATTATGTGGCAATATTGGTTGCTCAGGTTGTTAGTTATAATAGGCAAGTCTCTGCAAAACTTGGTATGTAGACAGTCAACATCTGTCCATAAATACTAAATCTTGTATTAGGTGAAAAGCTGGTGTAAGCATTCAATTACCATGACTTTCCAATCCTAGAACATACATAGTTAAAACATGTTTTTATAGTTAATATATCACATAACTACCATAATAACAGTTTTACATAACAATACAGTAGCATCAGTTGCTAATGGAATAACAAATAAATGGGAGACATGGAGAATGTCCTTTTCCACTCACAGACTGAGTAGTGAGCCATTTCAGCTACAGTACAAAGCCAACAATGCCTTGGTCTTAACTCAGACAAGCCCATGACAAAACATTGATATAATTACAGTATTTTGCATGGTAATTTATTTAGCCCTTCTATTGGCTTCGACCTTAATTAGCAAGCATATTAATCTCTGTTGTTCAAATGTGACTGTACAGCATAGTTTGTCAATTACTGTCAACCATAACTGAGGAAAATGGGTCTGTACTTATGAAAGAAGATAAGCTTTATTGATGTTCTTGTAATTCCTGGTGTTCACCAATAGAGGTTAACTGTCACAATCCTAGTGTTATGTCACAGTTTTAGTTTTGTCTGTCTTGTATTGGGTTTTATTTTGCAATTCTGTTCTCCCTGGGCCGTTCTCATTTCATCAAATTCCGCTCCTCGACTCCTATCCTCGAGACTTAGTCCCGCCCACAGGAGATGCGAGCGGAGGAGCCGAGGAGGGGAACCGAGGAGAGAGGAGGGGAAGCAGCAGGCGGTTAGAGAAATGAGAAGTCATTTTAAAGAGACGTCCATTAATGATGACAGGAGGCACAGCAGCCCTCTGTCTGATGGACAGATGTGTTCATGACGACTTATATATTTATATAAATATATACAATTTCAGAATCAAACAGAGCGCTCTCATAATAATGTAACACTATCAGAGACTGGATATATCCCCCCCTCCTCTCCCCTCTCTGGTCGCTACAATGAGGAAAATAAATTACGGGCCAAAAGTTTTATTTACAAGTATTAAAAGTAAGCAGAGGACACCAAACCAACTGAGACCTGTCTGTCCGCTGCATCTACGCACACACTGTACCACACACACCTACACCACACACACGCACCTACAGCTCCTAAAGCATATAATCAGGCTACAGCCGATGTGTATTTTATTATGTGAAGCACTAAATGGTTTTAGAAAAATATCGACTCTTTGTTTGTAGATATCTACTAAACTAAAGCAAATAAAGAGAGTAGGCCTGTTATACTGAGTGATATATATTATACACACTGCTCTGCTTTCTGCACGGACCTCACAGCTGTTCTCACTGTAAACATCGCGTCGCGATGAAAGCAGTTAATAAAATAATATCCAGGGGATGCATGCAGAGCTGTCATTGGCTGAGATAAGTCCGGCCGTGCGTCACGACTCTTTGAAACATCTCTGTTGCCGGAAATGCATCCACGAAGGAGCCGTGGAGGACCGTGGATACATCAGTGTATCCTCGGTTATAGCTCCTCCAGAGAGCCTCTTCGACGCTCGATGCTCGGTCCTCGATGTGCATTTAGAGAAATGAGATGTCCTTCAACATGGCGCGCTAAAATTCATTTCCGGGTCACTACCGGAGGACCGAGGAGTCGAGGAGTCGAGGAGTCGAGGAGTCGAGGAGTCGAGGAGTCGAGGAGTCGAGGAGGGGATTTGATGAAATGAGAACGGCCCCCTGTCTCTTGTCTTCCTTCCTGTGTTTTTCCTCCTGTGTCTGATTGTCTGATTGTGTTCACCTGTTGCCCTTGTGTTTCTGCCTCCCTTACCCAGCTGTGTCTTGTCCTGTGATTACCCCTCTTTGTATTTAGTCTTGTCTTCCCCTGTGTTCCTTGTCGGTTCATTGTCTTTCCTGTCTGCCTCCATGTTGGTCACGGTCAGTTTTTGTGTTGTTGCTACCTTGTGCTACCTGTGTTTTTCATTCCATGTTTTTGTTCATCAGCTTTTAAAATAAAGCTCACATTTTGTTTCTAGACCTTTTTACCTTTTTTTGTAGTCTGCATTTGGGTCCTACCTTTTTCCACGATTCCTAACATTAACAAAGGTCAAGTATTGCTTAATGCTCCATGTGACAATACATTTCTGTTTGATTCTGCTTCCAGGGTCACAATGTGAATGCTCTGACTATAGACCATGTGACACCCCTTCATGAGGCCTGTGTTGGAGACCATGGCGCTTGTGCAAGAGCTCTCATTGAAGCAGGGGCAAATGTAAGTCACGTACTGTCCTTTAATGTAGCTATGCTTCACAGGTCAAATGTCATTTCTATGGCTGAGAAAATCTGGGGAGAAGTAGGCCCAACAAATGAGCAACGCTGCTCTTCTTCTACAGTCCCGGTAGAGCTATTAAGTTGTTCCCCTTCAACCCTTCCCCCAGGCTGTTGCTATTAGTCAACTGGCATGGTTAAACAAGGTCTAAATATAACCATTTAAAAACATGTGTTTACAGGTCAATGCTTTTACAATTGATGGAGTCACACCGCTGTTCAATGCCTGTTCAGTGGGCAGTGTGGCATGCACTGAAATTCTTCTGCAAAATGGAGCAAATCCCCAGAGCCTTATATACAATCCATCACCAATCCATGAGGCTACAAGCAAAGGTGTGTTGCATTACGACAGAATGCATTAACTAATACATTATATCAGGTCGTTTTTTATTGACTTTTTAAATATATTGTATATCTAAACAGTTGTTCTGCAGTTAGCTGTCTCAAGTTCCGGTTTAAGGCAATTCATTTACGCAATTAACTAATATTAGATTTATCTGTCGTACCAAAATATGATTCATTTCTACTCATCACAGCTTATCCTGTCTTTCAACCTGCTTTGTGTCCTTTGCTGTGCTATAAAGCACTTTGTAGCAACCTGCACTGTTAAAAAAAGCTTTAGAATAAATCCCAACGTGACCCGAGCATACAGCTTGGAGAATGATCTTGCATTGTCACTTACTGATTACTGTCTTCATGCTCCATTACTTCCAGGGCATTACGGCTGTGTTGAGGCTCTGGTGACTTGGGGGGCAGATGTGGACATGCACATTCCTCACCTGGGCACAGCGCTCTATACGGCCTGCGTCTGCCAAGAGCTGGAGTGTGCCTGGAAACTCCTGAGGGAAGGTCAGCTCGCAGCTCTCTGTGGATCTTTGCATATGCAGATGTCCTGTATGAACATTCTCACACAGAAACACAAGCTCATTTATTCTGCTCAAAAAGGAAATAAATGCATGTGCACTGGATTTTAAAAACCTCTATAAAAGCATTTAGACCATGAAACTCAAACAGCTTTTTTTGGTTGTCAGTTATGGAAATCATCAAGGCATCAGCGGGAAATGTTTTATTTGAATATTAAAAAATTAGTTTTGAGAGATTATACAAATGGAAATCAGAGGGAGCTAATTTGTATTTATATTTTTCACGAATAGAAACATATTATACATTGCAATATGATTTAGGGAGAAGGCATTTCGGTCACATGCAGCCTACAGCTGACTGATCACATTTTCAATCTATTTGCCTGCCAATGTTGCTGGCTACCTTTTTTGATTGAATAAAAAAAAAAAAGGCACATACATTCTCACAGGGCTGTTTGAAAGTAATTTTCTGGGATATGTTTGAATTGTTAGGTAGAGGGCACAGGGGAAAGCAGTTATATTACATTTTAAATAAGAAAATGGTCACAAAAGTTTTTCTGGGTTACAATGAACAACATATTTTGATTTTGAAACAGCGGGCGTGTTTGACGTTGAAGCTTTTCCATCTCAAATGTGTCTAGCATGGATAATCAAGTTGTCTTACACACAGGTGCAAGTGTACAGAAAGGCAAATACCTGGATTCCCCCTTACATGCAGCTGCAGAAAAAGACTGCACAGCTGTGGTGAAGCTGCTGCTGGAGTTTGGTGCAGACATTAATGCCAGGAACTCAGATTGTCAGAGGCCAGTAGACGTGGCTCCACCCAGCAGTCGAACAGAGCGATTCCTACTGATATGCGAAGGTACAATCACTCTTTTGTATACAACTACACACCTATGTTAACGTCTATTTTTCCTATTTGTTGTATTTACGTCTGTGTTTAAACAACTACATCAAATGATATAAAAGTTGTCATTTATTTTTTATTTTTTTATCTCAGCTTGACGCATGACAGTGCTGAAATGCCAACTTAAAAGGGCCATATCATGCTCATTGTCAGGATTGTATTTGTATTCCGGCTTCTACTGTGACATGTTTTCATGCTTTAACGTTCAAAAAGTGCTTTAGAGGGAGAGAAACTCCCTCTGGTGTGATCTTAGGGATTTCAGGCTTTGCAAACTATTTACATGCACACAAACATAACACACTACAGGAAAGGGAAAACCCAGAATAGCATAATAGGGTCAATTATTTTCTTTCAGGATTATTTTGGTATTGTTGGGACAATCAAATATAAATGCTTCATTGTCTCCTTTTGAATAGCTACGCCTCGACTGCTGGGCCAGATGTGTCGTCTGTGCATCAGGGACTGCGTGGGTTGTGACAGACTCCATCTTCTCTCCAACCTTCCCCTGCCTTATAGACTCAGGAACTACCTGCAGTACAAATGACAGGCAGTCAAAATGGGACTTGCAGAAAAGAGCCTTTGTCATTGAGTGCAAATTAACTCTCCCTACCTTTAATTTTAGCTAGCAGTTAATTAGTCACTGAGTATCTGGCAGTACCAAGCTGTGTCGAGCTAGCCTGCCTATATGTGCTTGTGGAACTGGATCAATGTAAAGCAGGGGGTTAAAAGAGTCCGTGGCTTAACCTTCCCTGGATACATTATGGTTAAAAGGTATTATTTCACATGTAGGTCTGCCGTGAAGATGCCCTAATAGTTGCAATAGCTACCAGGGAGTGATGCACTTTTGAAACTTTACATGATAATATGATGTCGGATAAAGACATAATGTGAGTGAGTATTCATAGGTAGGCATTTGATATATAATGCATTGCACACTACTAGAAGATTAACATGTTTCTGAAACCTGGTGCATTCCTAAATAAATGATGTGTTTTAGTCTGTGTTGTTAATGCGGTCTGACTTAGAGGGGCAGTGTGGGAGAATTAATAATGCAAACATTTTTGAAAACAAAAATAGTTGACATGTCTAAGCCTGGATTACTGAGTAGTGACAACTGGAGGGGGCTTACTTTTTGTTGAGCCCCAAATGGAAAATGAGGGAGTGGATCAGCAAAAATGTCTAGTGCTGAGACAATAGCTAGTGCCACAATTAAATAAAGCTGAATAAAGGAGCAGCATGAAAACACTTTTCATAATATTGAGCTGAGTCTCACATTTTGAAATAGTTTCCATTTTGTGGTAAATACTCGAGTGAAAGGCATCTAAAATGTTACTTAAGTAGAAAGGTAATAGCATCAAACTATACTCAAAGTAACTAAACTAAAGGTAGGCCTACTCACTATGTAGAATTTCCATTTTTATCAAATTCATGAAAAACTATTTTTATTTTGCAGCTGGAAAAGTTGTAGATTTATTTAATGACTTTATAATACGTTTTAATTGATCAGTCAATTACATTTTTTAAATAAAAATATGAACCTGCAAAGTAACTATTAGCTCATCTTGTCAAACAAATGTAGTTAGTCAAAAGTACAATATTATTTTCCAAATTGTTAGAAAATACCTAAAAAAAGTACTCAATTAGGCTACAGTAGCGGTAGCCTACTTGGTTACTTTCCACCACTAGTATTAATCATATACTAGTATTAATGCAATTCAGTATTATATCAAGGTCTTATATTTAAATTAGTAAAATGATTAGAATTAATTTAAAACCTGTATAAATGTAACACCCTCTGAAGGGCCGTAAACAGTGTCGTGTTGTTGCCATGGTTATACAAACAAAGAACGATCAGGGCGTCAAGCTGTAGCGGACCTCCACTTTCATGGAGTAATTTACAGAGTTAGCAGTGAAAAAAAACGGTTTACTTCTAGGTTTCATCGGGCTTGGAGCATCATGTCTTACCCACAGTCTCCCAGGAAGGCAGGGATGCCAAGAGAAGTGTTGAAGTGGCTGCAGAGCCTCGAGCTGTCAGTTTATCCGAAGAATGTGCGCAGGTAACGTTGAAAAATGACATGTAATTAAACTAAAACCTCAACTTAGCTAACCTAAACACTTAGCAGTGCGCAATAATGAAAACCAAATCCATGTCAATATATATACTTTGTAAGTGGGACACATGTAGTTGGAAAGTCCTCAATAACATAAGTAAAATAAGTTAGCTACGGGTTAGCGTTGACCGTTGTTTCAATGGGATTCAGCTGCTAACCTAGCTGCTAGCCACTTTACCATTTAATTTAGGTAGTTGAACTTAGCTTGTTTTTAAATTGTGACGCAAATGTTGATTAGTCATTGCATTTAAAGGATAGGTTAGCGGGCTAAATGGCTTGAAATACAACCAAAGGTAACGCCGATTTAGTGGTGTAAAGTAACTAAGTACAATTTTGAGGTACTTTACTTGAGTATTTCAATATTTTTGCTATTTCGTACTTCTACTCCACTCCAATTCAGAGGTAAATAGTGTACTGTTACTCCACTACATTTATTTAATACATTTAGTTACTTTGCACCATTGGATTAATCATGTGAAATACAAACAACACTTAAATAAGACTTTAGTTACACCCAGAGTAACATTCACTAGCTACCCTGCAGTACATAAAGTCATTAAAACTAGCTGCACCTTTACCAAATTTGATTCACATATTAATGGATCAATAAATATAGTCAAAACATACAAATATATTATTCTGAAATGGGTCAATTTGCATAATGAGTACTTTTATTTTTGGTAATTTTAGTATATTTTGATGTGAATTATTTGTGTTTTACTTAAGTAACATTTTGAATGCAGGACTTTTACTCCTGCATTCAAAATGAGTGCTTCTTTCTCCTCAGCCGCTTTAACAAAGAACTCTCTTATGACCTGAAAAATAACCAAATCAATCCATGGCTTTAGTGAGCATTAGCTTATGCTACACAACTAACAACTCTGGATAGCTTGGTCTTTTTCACGTGTTTGACAAGTTGCTCTAGTCATTATGATTGAGTGACTCTGCTATGTATTTTTTTCATCATGAAAGGGCCTCACTGAGATGAAATATCTCTTTGGAGTGTCCTGTTGCACCACAAATCATGAAAAGGAGGAAGACATATGAGACAGAATTCATAATGTAATACTACATATGAATAGAAAAATCAAGGATCACACAACAGATCAGAGAGAAAACATCAGTGCTTTCCAATGGTGTCCGGACAGCATCAAAGTGGATTTTAATGGTAGAATAAACTCAGTTTGTTGTCTTTTTATTTCCAGAGATTTTTCAAATGGTTTCCTTGTGGCAGAGATATTGTCTCGTTATTACCCACAAGACTTTCCAGTGCATGCATATGACAACGGAACATCACTGGCTTCCAAACAGAGGAACTGGAGACAGATAGAGAGGGTAAGAGGAGGAGAACATCTAAAAATATAATGAGCTGGAATAAGATTTATTTTTGTTCTGTCGAGTTGAATGTGATTTAAATGTGGTTTATTTTTCCCTTGAGTAGACTACTGAATTATCATTAAAAATGAAACTACTTTAATGTGTCCAACCCACATGTTGTGATGTAGCGCAACCAAGGCCACAACAAGAGAAAACCTTGAATATCAATTAATTTAAAGTTATCTACACTGAAGACCCATTATGATAATTTCCTTCCTATACTAGAGGGATCGCAATCAGATAATTACCAATAGTTTATATTTTAGTCTTTACAGAAGCAGAATCTGCACTTGATGAAAGACGTAATTGATAGAAGCATCCACTGCAAACCAGGAGCAGCTGAGCTGTTGGTGCAGGAGGTTTACACTCTTCTAACTAATCAGAGGTAAGTGTTGATTGGGAGTGGGGCAGGAAATGAACACAGTTCGAGGCATATTAAAAAAATCCTCAGCTACTTATTTTGAAACCAGACAGATAGCAGTATTTTATATTGGTACATGAGAAAGTTGTTGATTAGGTAATGAAGCTCAAAGTTTCCCAGTGTTGATGTTCTTTTTTACTGATAAATCAATTCAGAAGTAGGTTCCTTTTTATCATCAACACCGTACAATCGGACTTTTTTGCTATCGTAAGGGTACAAATATGTGCCGGAAAAAAAAGTATGAAGGTGCTTTGGCATTGGCTTCTCTTTCTAAAGATCTAAGGTTTCCACCTGGTAGGTATTCTAATCCTTGAAGTCTCCCTTCTCAGTATCAGAGATGTGCAGGGTCCACAGTCAGACTTCACTGATGAAGAGTACCAGGAGCTTCTACCCGCAGTGGCCCGCTCCACAGCCTCCAGAGCAATCAAGAACAACCTGAGGATAACGGAGATCATGGCCGAGCCCGACATCAGAACCAACCAGAGGAAGACAGAAGCCATCCTGCACAGGCACCTAGAGCACAAGGCTGCAGAGAGGGTTAACAACCCTGGTGAGCCACCCAGATATTGGGCTTTCTGTGGGGGCAAACATATTATTATAACTTTGATGTAATATCTTTCTTTGGTTTGGGGATAGGACAATTTAAAGGGAGACCTAATCTGGGTCGGCTGGCATCCAAAAACCTTGTGCCATCAGGCCGCAGAGATGAGTGCTTTGCCAAATCTGGAGGCACTACATCAAGTAAGTGTTACGTTTAATATTCTCTCTCAACATTAGTCAGCAGAAAATATTGATTATTCAAATAAATGCTGCTTGAATGCAGTTATGTTTTTGGTAAATCATGAACGTTTTTGCTGAGACACCGAAATGTCTAATCAGTCTATTTTCCAATTTCTTTTTTAGAGTTGTGCTCCTCATCAACATGCATAGGAGCTGCTGTTTCCTTTAAGGAGATAAAGGTGCACCAGCCTGTCAGACATTCCCTAATTAACAATTACAGGAACTAGATGGAGAACATTGCTAAATGATTGTACTATTTTGTTTGTGTCATTTAATATATGGATGTGTTTTTTCAAAAGTTTAGCCTGTTTTGATTGTTATACCTCACAAATTACTGGACTGTAAGTTGTTGCAAAAGACAGAGGGCGTCACTGTCTGTCATGGTTTATGTAATATCAATGACTCAACCAGGTCAGTTTCTTCCAGTAGGTGGCAGCATTGAGTTACGAGCAGAGCTTACATCCACTGCCGTGCTGTATGTACCATTGACAAAAACAGGAAATGAGATGTGCACATAATGCTTCTGCTATTGCAGCAACACTTTTTTCTATCTTGTTTCTCATTTAATTATTACTATTCCTTATTTTCTAGCCCTTTGTTGAATAGATGTCAACACATATATGGACTGTAGTGTCTTTATCCGGAGTATTGGTTGATGAAACACTGACCTTTCGAAGGTGTGGATGGCTAAAGGCTAAACATGTTTTGCCTGTGAATATGTCATTAAAAGGCCCATGGTAACACAAATAAAGCTAATTGTGGGTAAAATGTGATGCCTGGGTTAATAAGGGTAGAGCACAGGAGATGATGGTGGCAATGTATCACTCGCACTTGAACAAAAGAGGAGTTGTTTATTCTGTTTTTATTATGTCCATATTTAATTTCGCAATTTCTTGCGGGTCCAAGGAATACGATAATCCATTTTAGATATTCTCCTTAAGTTTTAACATATCACAATCCCACTGGTGGAAAGTAACTAAATGCACTTACTCAAGTACTGTACTTAAAAGGTGCAATTGATAACTGATGGCATTCAGCCTCTAGATGGCGCACTCCCCTGCCCTGTCCATTGCATTCACATTTAAACATATCAACCATGTCATACCTGTTAACATTTTTTAAATCATTTATTCACGATCTTAATATTTTTATTTAAGAAAGGGCCATACTTTTATTCTAAACATTTCTAAAAGCTATGTGGTTTTTATTTTATTTTCTATAATTGTAATATATACAAATGTTATCAATGTAACCTTTATTTAAATGTGTAAGGTCATTTGTTGTAACTTAATGCTTTATTCATTTGACAACTTACAATAGAGTCACTTTGTAGTTATAGATTATTATCATAAAAATATCAACCATTAAATGAAGATACATTTTATTAGATTAAGCTACCTAGCAGAATAAAAAGTGATTACAATTAGCCTTACCAGCTGCAACCTTAAAGTGATTAACACATTCATTCATCAATCATTATAACTCAATATTATAAATATATGAATAGGACATTTTACATTCTCAATGAGTACTTATATTTTGGTTACTTTAGGTATATTAAGATGCAAATTATTCTGTACAATTACCTAATTAAAGTTTTGAAATCAGGACCTCTACTGGAAAAATATGGGCCAATTTGATCATGGATCCTGGGTTTGTTGGATGACTTGACAGGCAGATCATCAGCGCTAATGGCACCATATGTTCCTCCCTTTAATTGGACCACCTCCGGGTTTTGTCGCATCGCTTTATCTGTGCCTTCTGTACACCAATAACGGCATATGCACATGTCTTGACGGACACATGTTGAGGTTTTTAATTATTCAAACATTGTGAGGCTGTCACAAGAGAGTAGTGTTCCTCATGGTCTGGTGATGATTTTTTTTTCTTCCACAGTTTCTTACAACACAATGCACAGTGTAGGATTTCTCATGAAGCACAATCAAGTTAACCTTTATGTTGAAGCTAATAATGAAAATGTAATGTTTTGTTCCCTCAAAAAGCAAACAAATGTAGGAATGGGGATTACAAACGCACACTGTGTATCTAATTAACTAATACAACAACTGCACATTTTCTTTCCTGATATATCGTCCTTATTGTGCTGTGCACTGAATCAATCTGCATTAACAGAGTCGTCTGATGTTATATTAAACCATCTCACTAATGTGCTTCATGGTTACTGCTGGTGCTACATTAAACACAGCATATATATTTGTCATTATAAATTAATAATGTATAAACCGACGACTCACCAGTATGTATCTGAATAAGACTGAACTTCTGTAGGTTTCTAACCAATGAATTTCTGAATACAATCCTGCAAACAAATGCTTGAAACTTCTCCATGGTGTGCCTATTTTTGCATATTCAGTGGAGAACATAATTCAGTTATTTTCTGGTGCCAAAGCCTCGGATTCACTTTGAGATGGAGATCACTCTGTTGGCCCCAAATCTCCGAGCACTGGTGCATGCTCAGTGTACAGTACAATTGAGCTGTGAAGCTCGTGAAAAAAGGATGACAGGATGATAAGTGTTTCTGGCTGACTGCCTGTCTTCTCTTGTGGTCTAAGAGCCTGCTTTCAATAGAAAGAGAGGACAATGCTGTACATAAGATCTCCACTGCCTCAAAACACTATTAGCTGCAGATGACCTGGAGATGTATTGCTGCCATAGCCATGCAACAGAATTTGATTCATAAATTGTTGTGGAGAAGAGCATCGTTTGGGTCAACTGCAACATCAAACAAGCACAACAGTGTAAATAAAATATTGATATATAACACCTTCAAAAAAGAAATCCATCTATCAAACACTGTTTTACAGTAAGACTGGATATCTGACAATTGAACAAATCCATCAGATTATAATATATCTGGTGGTCTCCTTGAAAGCCGCCTATCTCTTTTTCCATGGTAGTCAATGGCTGTTGAAGCCTCTTCCCTGTCTCCCCTCAGTGGAGCTGTAAAACCTGACCTCCTTAATCTTTCAGTGTCTTTTGATTTCCCCTCAGCCTGACTGGGCGTGAACACACATCAGCACTTAAAACCAAGAGCGCTGTCGCCTGTTGATTTCTGCAGGCGCTGGGAGATGAGCATCGGAATTTGGATTTTCAGCGTGGAGCTTCACTTGATTCTGAATGTGGTTTATTCTGAAAATGAAGATCAGGAGGTCAGCAGCAAGTGATACAATATAAATATGAAAATGACTAATGTGCTACAGATTAGGCTGCCACGTTTTTCTTAAATGCACAATAACGTTGTGTAAACTTGAATAATGATAAGTGAGATGGGCTGCTTTACATGAAAAGCACAGGCAGGGGTTACAGGGTGATGTTTATATTTATTTTACATCCACACGCCTTTTCTACTGAACAATATCTAGGTCCTGGTTGCTATGGCAACTAGCAAGCCCATACTGGAGAGCGACCAGGAGACATTAATAAGCTTACTGTGAGCTTCTTTGGCTCCTTCTGTTGGTCATGAGCACAGGCAGTGACTGTAGGATTTAAATCAGCACATGCACAAAAACATGTAAACATATTCATTTAAGGTGAAAACACACACTTTATGTACAAAACACAGATAGCATATGTGATGAAAATAAGACATGCCAGGCAACTGATGTTAGAGAGCGGCACGCCTTATATGCCCTAAGAAAGTGTTTCACCATCTGCTGATTTTTCCTATCGGCATCACGGTGCCCACAGTGGGAAAGAAGCTCTTGTGGGGAGGCAGCAGGGGGAGGGGGGTCAACGCCTTGTTGGAAGCACAGACGTGAACACGACTAGCCGGGGAGGGGGTATTGTGAGTCTTTGTAAGCTAAGGATTCCCCCAGAAAAAAAGCCCTCCCCCATTCCCCCACAGCAAAGCTCCCACCCCTATTAACAAAGCCATGCTAAGCTAGTGTGGCCATGTTATCCAGGCCAAGGGTGGGGCACTTTGTGTGTCTGCATGCCGCAAGGAAATGTGTGAAAAGTCATGTGCATGTCAGATTCTTATTTTTATATGTATTTATTCAGTATCCGCTAATAAACCGCGCTTTTTATTTACATAATTTCAATTAAGTTGCAAAGCATAAGTCACCAACAAGATGCTGGCCTCTGTTGTTGTTAATGTTCCAAATCTCAGGAGAGTAAAGATAATTAAGTGCAAATGAGTTTTAGTTTTTTTTTGTATGTGCCACATGCAAACAATACCATTCAAATACATATTAAAAGATTATTTATTAGGTCGAAATTCAGTCTTCACTGTCTCCTTTTCATAACAGTCGTTAGTTTTTTTATCATATGCATTACAAACATTTTTAAAGAGCAATTTTAAAGATGAAAGACCACATTTTTGGTGTAAAATAAGATTTAATCCAAATTGAAAAACAGTACCAAGAGAAAACAGAAGGCTTGTAACTAAGTTTCAATTTCTTAATTAACTGTCATGGGAAAATAAACATCTGCCTCCGTAAACCCAACACAATCCAGCCACCTGACTTTATCACGTTAGTAGGCAGATGAACAGAAAGGCTTGCATCCCTCAGTACAGTGAAAGCAAGAGACCACAATGTGCTGTACACACAAGCAAACTGCACCACTCTCCCTCACTAAGAGCAAAGCTGCTACTATTAGACTCACAATAGAAAGGGCAATGGCAACAGAAGGTTACGTAAAAGTATAAAAACTACATCAAATTAGGGTAAAATATATTTTGCTTCAAAAGAAAAGGTCTGAAAAACAGCCCTATTTTTAGTTCTTATAACACTCACAACAACGACATATAGTATATCATATTTGGTGATCTAGTTGGTTATATCTCTCACAGGCTCCGCCCTCTACTGGACTCTATGGGTACTACCTTATCCCGCGTGCATTCTCCCACTGAGACTTCTATAGACGTAGCCGGCCCAGGGCGGGCCTACCTGAATGCGCGTGCATCACACCGTATAAAAGGAGGCCTCGCCTCCTGACTATCATCCTTTTTCTCTTCAGCAGCGGAAGTGATTCCACGAGCTTCGAGACGATTGAGAAAGAGAGAGTAAAGTGTAGGACCTGCCCGAAATGCCCGAATCTAATTACCCTTCTGCTTCACGTCCTTGGGGCCTGACCACGCGGTGGGTAATATGGGCCCGACGCTGACATGCCCAGACTGCCAGATGATCCCGCGGCTCACACGAGAGCATCGTGGGCAGCACTTCCTGGCGAGGGCTACCCCGCAGGAGGAGTTGGTGGATCTGGAGCTCGACGTCGTG